AGAAGAACCTTAATCTGTAAATAGTAGACATGCAGTACTACATGATATGGTGGTGAGATCTATTTGCTGGTCCACTTGCCATTTGTGCCTGGCACAACCCTGTCATGGAGTGGCACAGACTCTTGCAAGCGACAGCCAAGACAGCAACAACAATTCAATCCTTGCTTTCTCCCATGCGAATCAGCAGTGCTGCAATCCAACCCAAGTTGTGACGAAGAGCATAGGAATCACAGAAGGGAAATCCACATACACAACAAGAGAAAGCAATCTTATCTTACCTCCATCTTCCTCAGGAGCTCCGCTGCAGTTTCTGCTGAGACAACAATGTGCCTTGCGGAGTCCTCGATGAAGCCTTGATGTACCCCTGTGTCGAAGAGATGGAGCAAGCTGTCGTAGTACCCGTCCACGTTCAGCAAACCCACCTGCACAAGAAACGATCATGGCGAGTACGATGAAGGAGACAGTCGACAGTAGACAGTGCAGCTAGCATGACTGCTCACTGGTTTGTGGTGAATGCCGAGCTGAGAGTAAGCTATCATCTCCAACAGCTCCTCCATTGTCCCATACCCACCTGAAGAAAGTTTAGGTTTGTGAGCGTAGCCATCACAGCGTTGTCCTTTCGAGTGAAGAGAATGGAGGTTTCACCTGGGAGAGCTATGAAGGCATCGGCATGTTTGGCCATTTCTGACTTCCTGTCGTGCATATCTGCAACCTTTATCACGTCTCCTATCGTTTCCCCTGATATCTGCACGAGGAATCGAGGCCGATGAGTGATTTGTCTGCTCCTGGAACTTGGGAGAGGGTTCATGGAACCCAGAGGCTTTTGGATCTTTACCTCGTTTGGCAAGAGATCTGTGGGAATGATTCTGATGAAGAAAGCGTTAGAAAGATGGCATTTCCGCAGTAACGAAGACGAGAAGGTCTAAACAGCGAGGCATACCCGAGAACATGGCAGCCGCCATCGTAGACCGTCTTGGATATCAAACCCATCAGGCCGACGCTTCCACCACCATAAACGAGGTTGATGTTCCTCTCCACCTGAAAGGAGAAAGACCAGAAGCAGCAAGTTTTGTCGGAGCAAAGAACCCAGGAAGGTAGCGAGAGAGAACGATACGGTTCATGAGAAGGGGGGGCTTCTCACCAGTTGCTTTCCGAGATCAAGAGCTGCTTCACTGAACGAAGGCCTGTTTCCTGACCTACTTCCGCAGAAGACACATATGCTCCTAAACCTTGCTTTGCTCCCACTACCACTCCCCACTTCATTTCCTTGTCCTGTTTCCATCCCTCGAGAACAGGAGGTCAAAGAAACGATGCACGGAAGCGAAGAGAGGAGGAGAAAGGATTTATGCAGTCCGCGAGAGCACAATAAGGCAATACCCTTTCCCAGCTTTCATCCCTGAAACCTCCTTTTGTCCATTAAACGACCTCAATACTTCGAGCTGAGGACGATACAGACGAGAAACTTCGTCTTCCGCCTCGATCCCACACCGAGATCCTTGCTTCTTTGATCAGTGCATTTGTACTGGCATCATTGCTGTAGCTCTTATCCAGGTTGCGGAAGCCTTTGCTTCTTCAGGTAAACGAAGCATGATTACATTTCAGGCCCTCTCATTTCACGAGTCGCGTTCTTATAATTGGATTCAGGCGATCGGACAAGAAAAGGACAATAAAATGGTTAGGCGATTGCAGTCAAGTAAGAGATTCACAACTGCTGATGTGACCTTCGAGAAAAGGTCTTGCCATCAAGACAAAGGACAGCTCGATACCTTCATCTTTCCACCTGGACGTAGAGTTCCTCGATGGTCCTACTGCTTTGATTAGGAGAGATCTCAGGATCTGCTGGGTTTCCATTTGTGTTAGGCGCTTAATCTCGAGAAACCATGGGGACTGGCTCATGGAATCAGACCAAATTGCATGGTTTTCCGTGCTTGTTGGTTCTGCTTGTCTGCGTTTTGGATTGACAGGGATGGAACACCGTGGGGTATCAATGGAGACATCCCCAGTCTTGCAGGCTTTCTCTGTCAGCGAGAAATGTTACGTTGCTTGCTGAGCAAGACTGGCTCCATCTTGGCCATTCTTTGCCGAGATGATTACACTGACAGCATTTGATTTCTGTCAGTAAATGATCCAAAATGATCGATCTTTCACCTCCACAACTTGGTAGAGAAGAGAACAAGAGAGCAGAGCAACCTTCATCATCGATGCCATATACATCCCTCCCGTTTGCTCTACCTACAGCTTCTGTAAGTGTGAGTACAGCGAGCAATGTTCAGCTCAGCAAACGGAAGCGAGCATCGCTGAAGCGCTCACATCTGTCTCGACTGCATTGCCAAGTACGGTTCATCGTCTGTGTCTCTTTGTGAGCGATCGCTTTTGTGGACGAAGCAACGGCGACGTGAGCTCTTCTCGCCTGCGCGGAAGCGAGGCATCGCTGAAGTGCTTCGCCGTTTCATATCAGCATATCGATTGCGTCGCCGAGCTGTACGATGCATTAATGATGCTTCTTTGTAAGCTATCGACCGACGATGAACGAGCACATCGTCTCTCTTTTGTGGATGAAGCAACAGCGAGCAGAAGTGTACCGAGCAATGGTAGCCGTGGAGGTCGATCGGGAAACGAGTCAGGAGATGCCTCACTATTCATCTCGGTTTGAATTTTTCATGTCAATTATGTTGAGAAAATATACAAAAATTAAATGAAACTACAACACTTTAACCTATAAAAACAAGAAAATAATGAGATATGAACTGATATGCCATGGTTGATTAGTCAGCACGGCCTGGTTCACGGGTCGATGTCGGGAGTCTTCGGTCAGCTGAGCTGGATGCCGAGGTCAGCCGGGCCCTCGCGACGGGGTGTTGATCAGCGTTTCTCGATCCGAGCGCAATTGATGTTGAGCAGCGTCTCTTTGTCTCCAGGTTGGTTAGTGGCTCGCCTTCGTACACTGGATGGTAACTCCTAGGTCGGGACTCTCGTGGCTCGAGGGTGGTCGCTTTCCTGCAATAATGACCTTTGTCGGGTGATTCCTGACTTTGGCTCCTCCGACGAGCAAGTCAGTAGTTATTTTTCTCCTTTTGTCCTCTCCCCTGGCCGGATGCCGATCAAGAGCTTTTATATTACTATACAAGGGTCGGTTGTACACAGATTTGGCATGATGGCTGATCCTCGAGGGATGAGACGGTACCTTTGTGCGACCGTCGTCCCAAGACGTGTGGAACGACGCCAGACAGCGCCGTCTCGAGCTTCCGAGACGGGATATACCAAATAATGCCTTAGTACGAATTTTGACTTGACGCATGGGGGTGCTCTCCTTGCTAACTCGAGGGATGAGACGGTACCTTTGTGCGGTCGTCGTCCTGGGACGCATGAAACGGCGCTAGACAACACCGTCTCGAGCTTCCGGGATGGGACATACTAAACAATACCTTAGTACGGATTTTGACTTGGCACGTGGGAGTGCTCCCATTGCTGACTCAGCTGTAGCGCGACGTGACATCGATTGTGACGTATCTTGGACTCAAAATATACATTATCAATAATCTCATTTATCTCACGAATCGTAAGATAATGGATCTACGTGGAAAATCCTTTGTATATCAATTATTTTTAATTAATCTATTATGGTTTTTTTTAATCTTTAACATGTCTCATGTATGATAAATTAGTATTAAAAATTTCAATAATTGGTATTCTATCTTTAACATGCCATCATATTTGTTAAGAGTTTATTATTTAGAGTCTCTTTTTATTATTGATAATCACTTTACTATTTATAAACTTTTTTTAAAATTAATAAAAATATTATTTTACTATTTATAATTTCTTTAATCCTGATTTTATCCTCTCTTTTTTTCTTCCCTACATCCTTGCGATCGTCGTCTACACGTCCTATCGTGCTCTCATATAGCTAGTTGTTGCCCCCTCAGCCAACACACCTTATCGTGTGATCATTAATGGTTGCCTTCCAACCCACGCTTCGATCCCAGCTCATCACATCATTGATATTGTCTTTTTCTGTGGAGGGGTGAGGAAGAAGAAGAAAAAAACAAGAAGATATTTATGTTCATTTAATAAATAATAATTTTTAATAATATTATATATATATATATATTTAAAATAAGTTATAAAATAGTAAAAAGGGGATTGTAAATAATAACCTCCTATTTGTTTTATTTTTTTATTTGAATGAAAATATCCATGGTTTTTTTTACTAAAATGATTTAATCACATATGCTATTCAAAAAATTAATTATTAATTATCATAAAAATTAAAAAAAGTAGTAGTTAATGATTGATATCTTTTTTTAAAATTTAATAATAATTAATTATGAATTTTTTAAATAATATATGATCAAATCATTTAATTAAAAGTATATATATATATATATATATATATATATATATATATATATATATATATATATATATATATATATATATATATATATATAT